AGGTTTGCTTAATTCACTGATAGAAAAACATAAATATATAGAAATCCGGCTCTTTACACTTTTGAGAAATGTTAAATATGAAATTTCAATAAGAAATATTTATTTTTTTATAAATTCTTGTTTACATGTTAGAAATTCACATGTTTAAAGATTGAAACAACTTCTTAAAGATGATTCAATATATTTGATTTCGAGAAAATACAATAATATCGAGAGAAGTTATGAGGTGATTTTTGATGAAAAACTATTTTAAACAAAATTTTATAACTTTTACTACTCTTTATAATTATGTATTTAAATTTTTGGAAATGCTTTTCAAGCTTCTTTAGTAATTTTACAAATTTTTTATAAGACCAAAACTTAAAAACGTTTATTGTAAAATGCAATTACGTATAATAATTATGCATCCTAAAATTGCATTTTAGGAAATAAACATTAAAAATCTTTTATATATGCGTAGCGCAATATAAATTACATCTATTTACAATCGCGTTTGTGTGACACAGTTAATAACAGTTTATTCTATTCCATATTCCATACAATTGCATGCATGCACAATACGTAACACACAAATTACATAACATGTAAATAATTTAAATAGCAGAGAATAGTTACACAGAGACATTTTCCACAATATTATTTTTATTACTTAAAAGATTTTAATGAATATCCGCGGTAATAATCGGGTGAAGCTTTCGTGCGCAGATAGAGCAGTTAAACCCGAGCAGGAAAGTTCTTAACATCTTACAATCTTCGCAATAATTATTGAAAAATTAATTTAAAAAATCGACTAATCGAGGGAATATAAACGCATGACAAAAGATAATAAACACATACATATGTCAGAATTGTTAACTGAAAGGTGTAAAAAAATCTGGAAAGTGCAAAATCTCGGGTTTAGATATTAGTTTGGAAGGAAAGTAAGTTTTTTAGCTTGAAATTCGAGCAAATTTATTCTTATTAAAAAAACAACTTGAATCAATATGTAACATCCATTATTTCTATAATAATGTGCCATCCTTCGGGTAGCCGTAAAGTTGAACGTTTTCTCACGAAAATTGTTGAAGGTGGTTTTGACAATCCTCCAAAGAAGTCTTAGAAGAACGTCTTTTTTAAAGAAGTTTTGTAATGACTGAAACAAGTAATCTGGAGGAGCAATATCTGATGAATATATTAGATACAATAGAACATCTGAGCTAAATTGCAATATTTTTCCTGAATAAGCAAAAACAAGAGGTCTTGCTCTGGTGGACGAATAAAATTTACAATAAAATTTCTTACCCAGACAGCACACAATGTCCAGTGGACGTCCAGTTTTGGTTTTTATTTGGTACAAACGTCCATGGACTTAATACGAACGTTTTAAGAATATCCATTATTGGATGTTCAAAGTATATTTATATTTGGACGTTTTAAAAATGTTTATTTTATGCATATATGTAAAGAATTCTTATCGATAAAAATAATTTCGTGTAAAATAGTTATAAACCCTTTTTTTCAGCAAACAGAATATAAATATTATATAACATAAGGAAATAATAAACGCAATATAACGGATCGTAGTTATGCGTAGATGAAATAATTTTTTTTCATATATACGCAATATAACTCAGCATACATGTTCCAAAGACGTTCAGAGAATATCTAGAATATCCTTTGGATGTTCTCTGAACGTCTTCGATATACTTCGATCATATATAGAGTCTGTTATAAAGGCTGTGTGTTCTGAAATTTAAAGTTAGTGTTGGGTATCAATTGTGTAACTTTTTTTAAAGTAAAAAATTTTCGGCAATCACGCATTGATTTTAAAATAAAATTAATGTGTGATTGGAAGAAATTTTTCACTTTTCACCTTTTCACTTTGGAAAAAGTTACACAATCGATAGTTTATACGTTACGTATATATTTATAAATTTTTAGCAGTATTGACAGTGAATTTTGAAACACAGCCAAAATTTACCTAGTGACAGTGATTATCGTGTGAGCACTCACTTGTTCGATGTTTTCTAAACGTATATTACGTGACTGTGATATTCAACTTTTTTCGTCCTTCCCGCCTTGGCTTCGCTATCTCCGAAGGCTGTGCATACATACTCGAAGGTAATCCTTATTTATTTCATTATTAAATTCATAAATCAACTCTATAAAGTTATAAATAAATTAGCTTACATATTTATTCGTGTACTTTTCATAATATTTTCCTTGTATTTGTTGGTTCTTGTAAATTTGCAGCCTTCCGAAAAATAGTAATAAGGTTAAGGTGACAAAATTCCAAATAAAATAAAAAATATAATTAAACTTAAGGCACATAATTTCATATAATATTCAGAATAGCATTATTAGACTTCTTTAATTGTTTTTAATAATTATTACGTTGATTTTTACGAAAATTATGCTAATTGTGAATTTAGTCCATTAAAACAAAGTTATAACTTCCTCTATGTACCTTGTACCTATAAAATTTATGGCTAATTATAATTTTACTATTTCTTTATTAAGATTTTAATATGATCTTTAATATAAAAAAATGTATGTGTATAGTGGACGTAAAGAAATAATGTTACGCACCGTTAAACATCTAACACATTTTATTTAGTCTTGAAGTCATCGATACTCAAGTCGATACTCAACATTGAATGTAAAGTAAAATATAATTATATATTTATTATATATATAATTATATTTTACCTCACATTCAATGTTGAGTACCAATTTGAGTATCGATGACTTCAAGACTAAATAAAATGTGTTAGATGTTTAATGTTGCATAACATTATTTCTTTACTTCCACTATACACATACATTTTTCTATCACATCTTTTTCTTGCAATTTAATCAAATTTTATATTTCAGAGTATCTGTTATGTATACAGTGGAAGCAGAGGAATAAACAGACTTTACATAACATTAAACATCTAACACATCATTGTGTTCGGGAAAGTCGACATTTCACATTGGCACTCAATATTGAAGATAAGGTAAGATATAATTTCCAATTATCTGTTATGCATATAGTGGAAGTAAAGAAATAATATTACACCACGTTTAACATCTAACACATTTCATTTTGTCTGGAAGTCATCGATACTCAAATTGATACTCAACATTGAATGTAAAGTAAAATATAATTATATGTTTGTTATATATATAATTATATTTTATCTTACATTCAATGCTGAATACCAACTTGAGTATCGATGACTTAAAGACTAAATAAAATGTGTTAGATGTTTAATGTTGCGTAACATTATTTCTTTACTTCCACTATACACATACATTGTTTATACTATATCAAGATGACAAATTTTCTAATATTAAAATAATAAAAGCTTAATTGTATATTTTATAACTTTTTCTATTGTTGAGCGACTTTAGTGAATTTAGTTTTTCTACAATTTAATTTTTCTACAAACAAAAATACCTCATAAATATTATTTTGATTAAAATTTGAGAGAAGTAATTTGTAACAAGTATCTTTTATTTCATTAGTAGACAAAATTTTAAATTTTAAAACTTAAAAATGTTTTGGTTGTATTAAATTTAATTAGAAATTACAAAATTAACCGTAAAATAATTTTTTATATAAATTTGGATATTATATTTGGTTTTGTGAATCTTTTATTCAATCAACTTTTATTTTTTCATCTGAAGACTTTCATAATGTCTGAAATTAAGAAGCATTATATGAGAGCAAAGAGAATGCGTTTTCAAGAAGAAGTCTTTTCTAATCCTGAGCTTGATTCTGAGTCCGATCCTGAACCTGATCCTGAGCCTAATCTTCCTAACATAACTACAGAAAGATTCTCTGAACCACTAAATATAAGTATCTTACCAAATATAAATATCTCCACTAATGACGCACAATTAGAACTTTTAGAAAATAACAATTATTTAGAATCAGATTTGTTTTTACATGAGTCTATTTATGAATCCGATCAATCAAATGAAAACTTTCCACCTTCCTTCCACTCACCCTCAGATTCAGTCGATCTTGATGTACATAAGTATTTTCCTCATGACAATAGTAAAAAAAATAATCCAGAAGAGAACATACAATTAAAATTTATCCAGTGGTCATTGACGCATAATATTTCACATGCAGCATTAAGTGATTTATTAAAAATGTTAAAAGTTCGTATACCTGAATTACCCACTGATGCTCGAAGTCTTTTGAAAACTTGTCGTACCGTTGTAAGTAAAGTTATTGAACCTGGACAATATTATCATTTTGGTGTAGAGAATTGTATTAAAAATCTTATAAATTACTCAACTGATTTTTTTAAAAATACTGAAATTATAGAACTTGCAATTAATATAGATGGTCTGCCTTTATCAAAAAGTTCTGGAAGTCAAGTTTATCCCATTTTATGTCGGCTTGTCAAATATCATAGTAATGTAGATATAATTGGCATTTATCATGGTTATGAAAAACCTAAAAACGCTAACAGCTATTTAAACGATTTTGTTGAGGATGTATCAAATGTTATTAATAATGGAATTATTATCGATACTAAACATTATTCTGTCAAAATATCTTATTTTGTATGTGATGCAGTAGCGAAAGCTTATATTACCTATACAGTTGGTCATATGGGTTATTATTCATGTACTAAATGTTATGAGGAAGGTACTTATATTAATAATCGTGTCTGCTTTCCTAATACAAATCATTTACGTTTAAGAACAGATACTTGTTATAGATCAAAAGTCCAAGAAGAGCATCATAATGGCACTAGCATATTAGAACAGATTCCTAGTCTTGATATGATTAAAGCTTTCCCATTAGATTATATGCATTTAATTTGTCTTGGAGTCGTAAAAAAACTAGTAGTAAATTTATGGTGTTTTGGAAAACCTTCCGTAAAATTATCACATCAGAATATTGCAAATATATCTTCTAATTTAATTAATCAAGCTAAAAATATGCCAATAGAATTTAACCGTAAACCTCGATCATTATTTGAAGCAAAAAGATGGAAAGCTACCGAATTTAGACAATTTTTGTTTTACACTGGCCCTGTTGTACTTAGAAAAATATTAAATAATGATAGATATACAAATTTTCTTTGTTTACATGTTGCAATAATTATATTAACGTCTTCTAAGTATTCATTATTTATTGATTACGCTTCTAATCTTCTTTCATATTTTGTGAACACATTTAAAATTTTATACGGCAAAGAAAATACATCTCATAATATTCATAATTTGTTGCATCTTTCTGAAGATGTAAAAATTCATGGCCCATTAGACAATTTCAGCGCTTTCCCATTTGAAAATTATTTGCAAACTATTTTAAAATCTATTCGTAAAGGTGAAAAACCGTTAGCTCAAATAATTAAAAGGAAAAGCGAACAAAATTTCCATCAAGTTCAAATAGAAAAGACTAAGAAAAAATATCCTATTTATGAAAAAAAACATTTTGATGGTCCAATTCTTAATCTTAACATTTGTAAACAATTTAAAAAAATCATTTTACAAGATTTTGTGTTGCGTATAGATCATCCTAATAATTGTTGTACTCTTATCAATGGAGACATAATTTTAATTGAAAATATTGTGCATTGGAATAATGACTTTAAGTTAATTGGCAGAAAATTTTTGATTGTAGAAAATTTCTATACAAGTCCCTGCGAATCAAAAGAGATTGGAATCTGTTCTGTTGATAATATTGGTGCTCTTGAAATATTTAATGTAGCAGATATTTCATTTAAATGTGTAATATTAAATTGGGAGGAAAAACAAGTAGTATTTCCATTAATACATTCAAACATCAATTAATGTTATTAATATATCAATTATTAATGTATTATCAACAATTGCTACTATTGTTATAGCAGAAAATTTCTCATTATTTATGTAAAATAGTTTTTAATTGATTTTAAAGATTTTATTTTTAAAATTTTATTTTATAACTATTAACAAATTGTGTTTTGTATTTCAAAATTGAAATTAAATGTTTTGCATTGCCTACACTATTCTTGATTACGAGTCTGTTTTTCTTAGTGTTGTGTGTTTTGGTTTTTTAGTTGTTCATGTAGAAAATGTGTGAACAAACATGGACTGTAATACAGTTTGAACAAGATTGTTCTGTGGAAGCGGTACCCTCAACATGGATTCAAGGGCAGTTTTGCTATTGGCCTACATACTCAAGAGACAAAATAACGAGTGCAATAAGGAAGCATGAATCTTTAAATACATGTTGGCCTAGCTACAAAATAAGAAACTTCAGAAATTCTACGTTTGGTAAGTTTTTATAATACAAAATTTTAAAATAAATGTTAGATTAAAAAGAAAGATTCATGTAGGATATATTTACACTGCGTCTGATATCGGATGTATGTCGGATATCAGACGCAGTGTGAATCCTGCATTAAATAAAATATCACTGATGTAGTAAAGCGAGCTATATGAGAATCTGTCGCGGAATAATACGCAAAGTGTTTATAATAGATATTTACTTTATTATTAGTATATTTCGATTCTTATTCGATCCTTCTCTCATCAATGAACAATTAAATCAAATTCTAAACGCATTATTTACCACACCAGACTGATATAGCCCGCTTTATTACAACTAAAATAAATGTATTTACTAATTTTGATACATTTGATTACATGAAACAAATGCAAAATAAAACAAAATTATATTTAACTTTTTAAGATAACTATTCCAAAGCACGCTCAAAAGCACATATTGCTGAATTTACGAGCGACTTAAATTCTGAAGTAGAAACTAATACTAAAAGAAAAGTATATAAAAAAATTTTAACTTCTTCTTCATCAGAAGAGAACTTAATACCACAACCACCAAAACTAAAAACAAAAGTTAAAATGGGAAAAAAAATAAATTCTGTAAGAAAAGAAAGTTCTGAAAAATCAATTAATGTTGATCAGTATGAAATATCCAATACCGAAATTGGTAAGTTTTTATAGCTATATAATAACATTTATAATAAACATAAAATTTTAATATATTTATTTTTTTTTATATATATCTTATATTTTTAAAATACTTTTTACAGATAATTCAATTCTTGATGAAAATGTAGATTTCCTAAATTATGAAAGAGAATTAATTAGTAAGTGTTTTTTATATATAATCTCATAGTCTTTTATTCATTTTATAGTCTATATGGACCGGTATTTATAGTTCAATCTTATATTTAAGATCGTCTTAAGTCTGCTTTAAGGTTAACTTAAGATTCTATTCAACCGATCAAATAGCTTCGTAGCATCTCAAGCTCGGACTTAATTTTAAATATAAAATCGGACAATGAATACCGGCCTTTATATATATATATATATATATATATATATATATATAAAGGACAATAAAAAATTAAATATTTTTATTAATTTTTATTTTACAAGAATTGGTTAATATATATTAAATTTTTTCTAGGTACGCCACGTAATTCCCCCTACAGTCACCTCAGTAAGAGAGAAAAATTTGATGGTAATTATATATATATATATATATATAATATAAAAATATACATGTATGCACACACATGAATACATATTAGTACATATACGCATATATGCATACATACACATACATACATACACGTGTGTGCGTACATGTGTGTGTAACTAGACATAATATTAAATAATTTGAAATAATTTTCAGAGAAGACTGTTAAAAACTTAGTGGCTCAAAATTATTTAATACGTAGTGTGGTTCTGGATATACTCTCTGAAGTTAAAGAAATTAAGTTGCAACTAAAAAATAATTCTCAGGAAATAAATACCCGTGGAAAAGAACAAATAATTTCGGTATTTAATAATAAAGATAATGATATAAATTTTCCACTTAAAACCGAAGAAGAACTGCAGATAGTGGAAGCCGTCTTAGAAAATGACGACGAAATTACTAAAGCGGTAAGTTTTACTCAACCATATTACATATTTATTTTAAAAATAATTATTATATATAAAAGTATCATATACTCAGTGCCATTTGATAGAAAATGGAAATATATGAAAAAATGTCTAATACTATTTTTCGATGCGATGAATAGTTTCGCCGCAATTAATTATTGTAATAATCAGTCATTCAGCGCGGAGCTGCAAAAATCGCTTCCTTTTATAGCCCCACGCTGATTTTTTGATTACAATATAATTAATTGCAGCAAAACTATTCATCGTATCGAAAAATAGTATTAAACATTTTTTCTTAGATTTCTCTATCAAATGGTGCTCAGCATATGCGACATTTTTTAAACACTATATATACATATATAATATAAATTATTTATTTATTATAACTTATTTCTAATGATTAAGGCTTTTTATGAAAAATGTTATTCTTTTAAAATTATATTTAATTTACAAACAACATTCATTTTTATTTTTTAGATGACTGAGTTGCAACAATTAGGAGGGAACAATGGATATGAATTTATTAGAAGATGTTTATCTATGATATTAACAAATGAGATTGCGGATAAATATAGTTTTTTTGGACGAAAGAAGAAAAAAGCGTTTTGTAACCTTAATATTTGCAAAGTTTTAATAAGTGAGTATTACATTCTAGAAAAGTTTATCTAAAAATTTCAAACAAAAATATAAAAAAAAATGTAAATGTTTCCTATTTTTTTAAATTGCATAAATTAAATAATTTTGTTTCATTTTATGTTAAATAGGTGCCTCTAAAATAGGAGGATATTGTCAAACAACTAAAGAAGCAGAAAAACATATTCAAGGATGGTTGAGAAGAGCTGCTGAAAGAGGAAAACTGAGACAATAAATTTAAAATACATCTTATATTCTGTATTTGCAAAGGATGATGAGACAAGAGATGATAATGATGATGATACGAAATCTCGTCGGATAGTAACATCCAGATCACCATACAGCACTACCACAATACAAAGTGCCTAAGCAATATGCAGCTGTTGTAATAGGAAGAGGTGGTTCAGTGATCAAAAACATACAAGATAAAAGTGGCACACATATTAATATGAGTAAAGATGATATAGAATCTCCGTATCGTCTCTGTGTTATACAAGGAAAAGAAATGGAAGACATTCGTTTAGCAGAGTCAATGATCAAAAATATAAAGGAAATCAGCCTATCATTGAGATCTATGAATTGTTAGTGCCATTCGAACCTTGTGGAATAATCTTAAGAAAAAGTGCAAATACTCTCTCTCTCTCTCTCTCTCTCTCTCTCTCTCTCTCCTCTCTCTCAGAAAGAAAAGAACCCCCTCAAGAAAGAGGAGAGGAAGAGAGAGAGAAGAAAGGAGAGAGAGAGAAGAGAAGGAAGGGAAGGGAGAAAGAGAAGAGAAGAGAAGAGAAGAGAGAGAGAAGAGAAGAAGAGCTCTCGAAGAGAAGAGATCCTCTCTCGGAGAGAGAAAGAGAATCCTTTCCCTAAAAAGGTTCCTTTTCCTCTCTTCTCCCTTCCTCTGCCTTTCCCTCTCCCTTTCCCTTTTCCTCTCTCTCCTTTTCCCTCCTTTTCTTTCTCTTTCCCTTCCCATCCCTTTCCTATCCCTTTCCCTTCCTTCCTTTCCCTCTCTGTTCCTCTTCCTCTTCTTCGTCCTTTTCCTTCTCTCCCTCTCCCTCTCTCTTTTCCTCTATCTTTCTCTCCCTCTCTCCTCTCTCCCTTTCTCTCTCTTTCTTCCTTCTCTTTTTCTTTCTTTCTAATACGAAATATTGCATTATTTTTGAGAACATAATATATCATATAAAAATGTTATAATTATTTTTGTTCATTGACTGAATGTTATAGGAGCACACAAACGATTTCTTTCTTTCTAGTACAAAATGTTTTGTTATACTTTATTACTTTTTGTGTGAGATGAACAATAATCATATTATTTTTTCACTATAAATACTTTTAAAGAAAGTAATATATCATAAAATGTATAAGTACTTTTAAAGAAAGTAATATATCATATATAATTATTTTTGTTAATTATGATTAAGTGTTAGACCGGTTCTACAATAGGTAATTTATGCCCTAAACTTTAAGAAATTGATTACAGTCAAGTATGAAT